TATTTAAAAGGTTTCTTAAAGAAATTTTTTCATAGCTTCAAATAAAGTAGTGTTATCTTCTTTTATCATTAATATTTACTATAAAAATATTTCTGTTATTTTTTTTATGACTGGTATTGTTAAACTTTATGGTTTTTAGCTCATTTTGGCATCAAATTATGCTTTTTTTTTTAAATTTCTGTTACTGGAGCTTTGGATCAAACAAATCTAAATCCAAAATGGTTTCCTTAAAAGATTTGGTCAAGGACTTTCCATCTTTTTTTTTTCTTTTTTTCATAAACTAAATCAGATCAGGGGAGAACCCAGAGTTTATTTGGGGATACCGTTTTTTTTAAGCAACGTTGAGGGAAGAGGGGGACGGGGTGGGGGAGAATTATGTTTTTGAATTCCCCCTCCCCTCATTCTCCCCTAGTTAAACAGGTGCCGCAACAATTTTTAATCATTGTTTTTTTAATAATCATTCATGCTCATCTTGTTCAGTTTTATCCTATAATAAGATGTTGATTTAAAGGCATTTTTTGAATACATGAATTTACTGGTGGACGATGTTACTTTAGCTAAAAGAAAACTATTATACCTAAGATTTTAATAAACGCTTTTGTTGCAGATACCACGCTATCAGTAAATAATTATTGAAAATTGTTTAAAGTATTTTAAATAGTTATTAATTATATTTTAGCAAATTTAATTTAAAATAATAATAAAAATATTTTAAACAATTTTTAATCAATATTTACATTACATAATATACTTACATATATTATATTGCGTAATATTTGTAAATTTAACAAAATAGTTTTACCTCTTGTATTTGAATTAAAAACATAAGCATTTAATAAGCAAATTCAATAAGCATTTAATAAACGTATTTAATAAACTATAAAATAAAATAAAAACATAAGCATTTATTAAACTTATTTTCTATTATTTAAAATTTAAAATTTTGATTTAAATATTAGTAAACCTGTTCATTTAACTTTTAATAAAGGTTATAATTTTTAAAGAAATTTTAAGGCGCCTTTTAAAATAAAGATAATTAAAGAGATAATTACAGTAAACATGATTTTAAAAAATATTCTATTATTTTTATTAAAATCCATACTATATTTTTAAAAATATATTTTTAAAAAAATATACATTTTTAATTATTAAGAATAATTTAAAAAATTACATTTGAATAAATAAATTACATTTACTATGGGTTATTTTAAACAGATCTAAATAAAACTTTTATTAAGTTATTGAAACCTTTTTTTTTATTATTTTAAAAGTAATATTGAAAGGAAAAAAAACTGTTTTCGTTTTCCTCACGAAAACTAAAATAGCAAACTAAAAATCACAAGTTCATTCATTTAAAAATTAAACTTAAAAATTAAAAATTAAAGCGCAATAGTTACAAGGACTGATATTTTTTACTTTTGTTCAAAAGCAGTTTAATCTTGATTGCTAAAAACAAAAATTAACTATACACTGAATAGATATTTAAAAGCGGTTTAACTTTGAAAAAAGCAAATCTTTTATACATTCCATTGTTATAAAATTTTGCAATGTGGTTTAAAAATTAAGTTTCAAAATCACTTTCATTTTTTTTAAAGTTATGTCCAGCTAATAACCGAAGGCAAATTACGTCACATAGTTATGTAAAAAAGCAATTTCTTTTTAATTCTTTTTATTATCCTGAAGAAAAAATGAGGTAGCTAATTTAAATTGATAATTATATATATACTACTGCATTTAAACCAAAATTTTTTTCTTCTATTTTTCATAAAAAATCAAAAGAAAAATTAAAAATAATTTTTGGGCGCTTTTTTTGGGCGCCCATACTGGTAAAAGGGTACTAAAACACGTCTGAGTTCTTCACTGCAGATCCAAATGTATCAATGTGATTCAAAAATATATAAACACATTATTTTTGTAGTTATTTAAGGTGCTCCGAGAAGACGGAATGGTCGCATTACAGAGCACCGCAGAAGAGCATTTAGCTTGGAAGTTTCTGCTTGTTTTATGTCAGAAAAAAAAGCCTAGAGTAGGCATCCAACCACAGATCAGTGAATGATCCAGCATTTTTTAGTGTTTAAGATAGCTAACAGACATGGTGCAAACTCCAAACATTTGTATGTTTATACTTATGTCAAATAATCATACTTTGAAAGATATTGCAATGATTGGAGGATGGGAACAAAAAAAACCCTAAAATTTCATCTCCCCTGCCCCAAACATGAAAGCAACAAGTTGGTAAAATAATATTTTTATTTTTCTTAACTTTATATTCATCTATAATTTTTAAGTTTCACAGTATTATCTCTAGGCATTCATATATTATGACTATATAAAGTTTAAACCCCCTTCAATTTGAGGGGGTTACAAATTTTACATAATTTTCTTAACGCTTATAGATTGTAAAACAATACTTAAGATTTATCGATGTATATAAATTTAGTTAAGAATAACAAAAAAATTATTTCATCAACTTATTGTTTTCATGTTTGGGGCAGGGGGGGGGGGGGAATATTAGGTTTTTTTTGTTTCCAGCTTCCAATAATTGCAACTTTTTAAAAAGCATCATTATTTGACATAAGCATAAACATACAAATGTTTGGATAATGCTCCATGTTAACTATTTCAAACACCAAAAAATGCTGGATCCATCACTGCCACAGATCTCTTGTTTCTGAAGCAAGATTATTTCAGAATTCAGCGTTTAAACACTGCAAATGTACAACAAATATTTATATACATATAAATTTTCAGACAAATATCTCAAGAAAATATGTAAAAAAAAAAATAAAAATTTAAATGTACTTTTAAGGTTCAGAGCTTGCAGTTAAGTATCAGATCAAATATCAAATTATTAAAACCATTCAATAACGAGAAAGCAAGGAAGCAGTCGCTGTAGCTAACTCTTTGAACACACTCTTCTTCTTTTTTTAATGGTTTTTTACAAGAAATCTTTGAAGTTTACAATGAAGCTTCTCCAAGCTCATCACACGTTCTACATTACCTTGAATAAATTTTACTGTAAGCACAGCAAAATTGAACTTTTTATTACAAAATATTTGTCTTAAAACTTGAAACAACCTGCAAATTATTTTTAAAAACAAGAAATATATTTCTTGTTTTGAGAAATAAATTTCTTTAACTATGTTCAATAGATTTACGATTTTGCTGAGAGTTCTGATGAGTTGTTAGCAACTTTGAAAGATTTTAAAAGTTTTGGAATTGATTGTATTCAAAAAGCCTGAGGGAGTCTTATCCGTTAGCATTTTTTCAAAATATGACCTAGAATATGAAATTTTTACTAGTAGTCTGGTGAAATATACAACTCAAGACCTGGTCTTTCTCCCAACCCTGGTCTTTATCAACAAAAACTGCTTTAAGAAGGATTTCAGCTTTGATTCTATTCTTTTTAACATCTTTTAAGATCTCCCTTTTTTTTGAATACAGAATTTTTTACCATTTTTATATTGTGATGTTGGTCAAAAGATACTAACTCCAGTACTAAACACCTCTAAGGTTTTACCATGATTTGAATTTCACCTCTGTAGCAGACGCAATATAATACATTTGCCAATAATCTTATTGATCTTAAAAGTGTAAATTGTAATGCAATGTAGATAAAATAAGGTTTACAATGACACTGCTAAAAATTAATTACATTTAATCTTGACAAGATAAAATCAAAGTGCTATTTCTACTGATTTCATTTTTATATTTCTACTGATTTTAAGAAAAGTCTGTCATTAGAAAAAAAAATTAGTTTAGAGTTATTTTTTTTGTATCATACATCTAATTTGAAACCATTTTGCTAACCATTGTTTTTAAACAATTTGCTACTTTATGACATAAATTATTCTTAAATAATAATACTAAAATATCAAAACTTATGAAATTAAGTTTTAATTTAAAAACTGCAGAATCAGAAAAGTTGCAGGCCAAAAATCGCGATGGCCTGGAGAGAGAAATGTACTTAGCCATTTTATTGATGTCTTTGAGTATTTTATTACTCAGAATAAAAACTGATTTTAGAAGTTGAATTTCATGAAATTCAAGACATGTGAAACAGCTCCATATTTTTTAATATGGAGCTTCATTTTCACACGCCTTGTGACAATATTTTGCACTTCTCAAAAATCTAAATGTAAATAATTTTATATTTAGACTTTTGAGAATAAAAGTCTAGAGGTAAATAATTTTAAATTAAAAACATACTTTTTGTTTTTGAAAATCTTAAAGTGAAGTAGTTTTATCTTTACCTTACTATTTTTTAACCTTTTATGATTTTATGATACAAATAGTTTATTCTCTGGCTTAACAGTTTTATTTACGGTTACATCTTTATGAAGCTTTCCAACATGAAGGCAAGAGGTTAACAGGGAATAATGGTTAGCCAGGAAACTTAGCAAATCTTGTACAAACCCCTTTTAATTACCGAGGGCTTAAAGTGGGTGAACTGTATGAGATTAAAAGCATTTAACAAATTCCTAATTGCTGTGTTTGGGCCTCAATGCTTTCATGTTTAAAAACCACTTTTTTTTTTAAATTTTATTACAAATTTGTGCGTTTTCAAAATACCACCAATTAACAAAAATAATAGTAATAAAAATGCATACAATCAGTATAAATAAAAAACCTTTTATTATTTGTAATGACGTTTATTATATAGTTAATGATTTATAAATTTCTATTTGTGCTGAAATTTTTAAAATGCCCTTAAAAACTCAAAAAATGTAAAAATGTTAAACTTTTAAAGAGTGGCGTGAGTATAAATAGTCATTCAAAATAAAAAATTTCATTTGGAAAACAATACCTTGGGAATAATTTATGACACTCCGCGTATTAAAATGTGTTCATGAGGATCAAAATGAGATGGGCTAATATATATATATATATATATATATATATATATATATATATATATATATATATATATATATATATATATATATATATATATATATATATAAAATTTATAAAATACATGTAGTAACATTTGAACTTACAAACATATAGTACTGTTATTTGACTTGTTAAGTGCACAACTACCTCCATTCTTACAATTATTCTTCTGTTCACATGCTACAAAATCTGAAACATAAAAATATTTATTCAGAAAAACTTTAAATGAACTTTTTTTTAAACTGATATAGATTTTAATAAAAATTTTAAAATAACCATACCATAACCTTTATAAAAAGTTGATGTAAATATATTCTGTGAAGAACTAGTGTAAAAAACTGAAACGATATTAATAGAGGAACTCAAAGGGGCGGCAAAAGTGTAACTTGATGTAAACATTTTACTAGAATCAGTTGTTAAGAAACTTGAAAAAATGGTAGTAAAACTTGTTTCAGGAACTGAAGAACTTATGCTAATACCAGAAGTGCTTGAAAGATTTTCAGTACTGGGACTTTTTACAAAATAACTACTTGTAGTTGTACTTGTATTTGTTGTACTTGAATTGATGTTTTGAACAGAACTTCGGGTAAAAGAAGCTGAGAAATAAAAAATTTAACATTTTATATAAAAGCATATATATATATATATATATATATATTATATATATATATATATATATATATATATATATATATATATATATATATATATATATATATATATATATATATATATATATATATATATATATATATATATATATATATATATATATACACTTACTAAAGCATATTTTTATAAGCATTTGCTCACTTTTTTTGCTTACCTTAACCCATACGGTTTTTTTAGAAAAAGAAAAAAAACAAAGAATGATGAATGAAACGATTGCTGACCCATCTTAAACCCTCAGTCAATGTAGCAGCACTCCACTGCGAGTCAGGCTATTTGTCAGTTGATGTATGTACTGAAGCCCTCAGCAGCAGGCTATTTCATATATTTTCATATACAGGCTATATTCATATATACATATATATATATATATATATATATATATATATATATATATATATATATATATATATATATACATATATATATATACATATATATATATATATATATATATATACATATATATATATATATATATATATATATATATATATATATATATATATATATATATATATATATATATAATTTAAAAATATTATTGGTTTTATATAAGTTATATAATAATATAATAGTTATTTTTATTTAATCTCGTCAAAAAATCAATTATGTAGCACTGATATCATTCATCAAGCTCTAGTATAGAATGTTTTATATACTAAGATAGTATGTTCATAGAAAGGGTAAAACCTGGTATAAATAAACAGGTTAACCAAACTAAAACATATTTTAACCTATTTTTTTGTTATTTCCTATTTCATTAGTATGACATAATAAACTTTTTAATTGATTATTGATTAATTTTAATTAATTATATGATTAACTTTTTAATTGATTATAGTATTTTTTTAATTATAATATTATTAGTTTGTATAAGAAATTACATTTTGTATTATTTTTTTTAAACACCTTTATAGATATTAAAAAAAAATCTTAAATATTTAATTTTAACTGAAGCTGACTAGTGTTAGTTAAAACATTTATTTTTTATTAACAAATGTTGGGTTCTACAAATTAAAAAAAACTATTTAAAGAGTGTTGTTTACAAAAATATTTACATTTTCAGTGCTTAAAAGAAATTTTGGATATAATTTTTGCCAACCTCAAACTGTTAGAGGTCAGTTTCAGGTTGGCAAAAAAAATTTGACACAAAAGGGTTACTATAAAACATAGAAATGAGGTCAGCAATTTTTTGCCGACTTCAGACACTTTGAGTTTGGTAGTTAGGTAAGAATTGCTGAGTGTCGACCTAACTACTTGAAACCTTTTTTATTTGTGTATTAAGCTGAGACTGACAGATTTTATTATTGTATTTTAATGGTCTTTTTAATCGTTTGTAGTAGATTTTAAGATTTTTGTAATAGACTATTTAATTTTGTAATTAATTTGTTTTTATAATTGATTATGATTGAATACATTTTGCTGATTGTATAAAAATATAGGTCTAAAAACTTATAAAAAGTACTCTAATGTGATGTTAAAGTTAATGCTAATATTCACTTTTTTTATAATTAATTATAACTAAATTCCACTTTTAAGTAAATTTAAAACAGCCTGATTTATATTTACACTAATAAACAAAACTATTAGTGTCAATAGAAATTAGGTTGTTTTAAGTTTGGTGAATATTAATATTTTTAAAGTAACATTTTAAACTTAAACATCAAATTAGACTACTTTCCTCAAATTTTCAGACCTATATTTTTATGCAATACTAAATCAGCATATTAAATCATAATCAATCATAAAAAAGGGAAGGGGAAAGTCAAGTAGTGCCATATGCAATTTATGATTTTGTAAAGATGTTTGTTGATTTTAATAGTTTTAACCAATATTGGTTCACAAGAGCACACTTAAGCTCCCTTCATTTTTTAAATTAACACTGTAAGCAAGTAATTAATAACCTGTTGAACTTGAACTTTGGTAAGTAGAATACTCAAATGAACTTGTTTCATTTCCTTGCACACTCTGTAAAATACTAAACAGCAAAACAGTGGACAACCATAATGTAAATAAATATTTTATTACTATAATCATTTTCTAAACAAAAATCATATTTAATTTGAAAAGCCATTTTGAGCATTTGAAATCATATTTGAAACAATATTTTACATTAATAATATAATTATGAAATAAAAATCACAAAACATAACCTTGTCAAAAAAAAAAAAAAAACTATAAAAATAGTTAAAAACACTACACAGCAAAATGCACAATAATTATGGTTTGAGTACATTTTAAAAGAAAAATAGAACAAAGTATGTGTACAATAAATTTGGTTAAATTACATTTAAAAAGAAAAACATAACACAGCAAAGTACAAAATAAATACTAAATTACATTTATAAAATACTAAACTAAAATTAAAAGTTAAAAACAAAAAACAATTACAAAAGTTATACAAAAAACGATAAAAATGAACTTGTATTGAAAATAGAATAGGAATAAAATTAACTTGAATAGTAAAAAAAAAATCGAAAAAAAAAAAAAAAAAAAAACTTGTTCAAAAATTTGTTCAAAAATGTTGTGTCATCTTTCATATCTCCATCTTATCTTATCCATCACTATTGTGATAACCAACCATTATTGGATCATATTAATCTATGCAAGCTGCAATCTTTGTGCAGTAAATAAAGTTAAAACTTGCATGTAGTTTTTTCAAGAATATTAGATTCAATCATAAATTATAATTTTCATTTTATTTATTGTATACTTTAAATTATTTTTAACTTTTTGGTTCTTTTTTGGTTCATTTTAATAACTCTGCTTTTTTTTTCTTTTCTTTTTTCATGTCTTTTTATCCAGTTTTATTCTAATAAAAAAAATAACGCTTTCTAAATTTTTATTTTTTATAACAATATTTTTAAAAACATAATATACCACTAATAAAAAAAAAAGAAAAAAAATTATAAACTTGTGTTATCAATTACATGTAAATATTAATGTATCACATCTATAAACAATTAAACTTGTTAGAAACATAAAAAAAAAAAAAAATTAAAACTTTAAAAACACTATTTTTGTATAATAAAAAATATTTTACATTTAATTTAAAGAAAATTTATTTGTAACAAATACAATGTGACTTACTTGAATTTCAGTAAAGTTACAAAATCATTGCTTTTGGTTTTGCTTTTCAATCTTCTGTATTTCTTCCTTTAATTTCTGAATAGCAACTTTTCTTTTTTTTAGCCTGTCATTCATTTGTGCAATTTCCTCTGCAACCCTTTTCTTGGCTAATTTTATAGATGCTAATGTTTTATTACCTTTAGTCTTCCAATCAGTTTCATGTTTACGAACAGCTGTTGACATCTTTGGAGTAGTTAGCTGTTTATAAAGAAATATGCTAGGGTCATGAAAAATGATCTCATCATAAAATTCTGATACAAGCTGACCTTGTGTACCCACATGTGGTTGATTTGCAAGAAGTGGATTAGAAAATAACTTTAAAAGATGATAAAGTGTTACCTAAACAAATAATAACATAATATTATACTATCATTTTAATATTTCATTAAGTTTTTTTTTTTTTAACTCAGTAATATTTTATGATATATAATCTATATAATAACATAGTACTTAATAATAATGACACTATTTTAATAATAATTGGCCCTTGATGCACTTTTTGAAACAAAGCTTTTTCAACAAATAAAAATAACTTCAAAAAAATCACTAATAATAAAATAAAAAAACTTTTTTTACTAAAATATAATAAACGATGTATGTTTTTGTTTTTTTTAAATTATTTTTTTTAATATAGTTTTTTTTTATATTTTTACAATTCCTATTTAGTTTATATGAACCAGTGTGTGTAAAATGATTGATTAGTATGTGTAAAATGTTTCATTAGTATTTTTAAAATGATTCACACAAACAATTATGTTAATAAACTCTTAATATTTTATGTGTGTTTATATATATATATATATATATATATATATATATATATATATATATATATATATATATATATATATATATATATATATATATATATATATATATATATATATATATATATATATATATATATATATATATATATATATATACATATATATATATATATATATATATATATATATATATATATATATATATATATATATATATGTATTAGTATTAGTATTATTATTATTGCTATTATTATTATTATTATTATTATTATTATTATTATTATTATTATTATTATTATTATTATTATTACTACTATTATATATTTTGAAACAGATGATTTTAAAAGCAAAATTCGGATGATCAAAGTTGACTACTCAAATGGCAGATAATCTTACTCATAATTATGCAAAAGCATTTTCCAGTGCTTCTGAAATTTTATCTATAAGCACACCCACAGGTAAGCACTAATCGCTGTGACAATTAGAAGAGGTTTGTTTAAATAATTTCGTTTAAAGAACCATGTTCCAGCAAGAAAGTCTTGTCTTTTTCAAAAAAATATTAGAAATCATTTGGCCTTTTGTCAGAAATACTAGGACTGGTCAGCAGAATATTGGGAGAATGTAACATTTAGTGACAAATTATTAATTAAACTAAATTAACTTGGTTGTCTTTCTACAAGTGTTGGACACTCGTCTTGCCAACGATACAACCTCCAATATTTGTTTTTGACTGTAAAATATTGGGCCAAAATGATAATATGGGGTGCCATTACCATAAGTCCAAATGATGGCTTTTAATTGTAACTGTATATATACAGCCCTCGGAATTAGGAAAATTGAGGTTAGCAATAATTTGCCTAAGGCTACAAGCAACCAATATTAGAGTTGGAAGTTATTGGAAGAGAAAAGATGAAATTTATAGAGCATGATAATGATTAACAGTCAATTTAAAAGATTGCAAATTATATGAATCAGGAAAAAATGGTGAAGGAAGTGAATTCCAAAGGACTGATGTTTGAGGAAAAAAACTAGATGAATAAGATTTTTTGGAACACTTAGGAACAGTCACAGTTAAAGGATAAGACTTAACTAAATGACGAGTAACACAAAAATGAATTTCAGTAAATGGCACAAGTTCTTGTGCCATTTACTAAATAGATAGCTCTTTAGAGCAGAGCCCATTTATAAAAAAGAGAAAAAGAAGCAATATTACGCTGATGTGATAATGGTTGGAGATGGGGTGCAAGAGCAGGTCCAACTATGTTTACAATGCATTTTTGCACCTTGTCTAAAATAGAAAGAGCATCATTGGAAGATCCGCCCCAGATATGGCAACAGTATTCCATACGAGAATGGATTCGAGATTTATAGAGATAAAGAATAGAATCCTGAGTAAGAAGGTGGTGCGCAAGATAAAGAAATGCAACCTTAGCAGATGCTAATTTTGCAATGGATATGGTTTCCAAGAAAAATCAGAAGTAAGAGTTAACCCTAGAAGATGAAGGGTAGATGACTCATTGAGTAGATTATTGCAACAACGATTAGCTGAAAAAAATTGAACTTTAACTCAGTTTCATCTGATTTAAAGGAATGAAGAGGAGTGCTGTCCATCGAGGACAACTTTTATACTACAACTCGTAAGGAAGGATTTAATAATCTTTAAGATGCTACCTGATACACTGTAAGAAGAGAGTTTATGGAAAAGACCAGTATACCAAACTCTATCAAAGCTAGAAATATCAAGAGCAAAAGCCTTAGCCTCTCCACCTCTATCTAATGCATGATAAAACTTATCAGTTATTACCATTAACAAATCAGCAGTAAAACAAGCTGATCGAAATCCATATTGATGATCAGAAAGTGATAAGAAATCCATATTGATGATCAGAAAGAGATAAAGTGTTTATTAATTAAAGAAGTAGCACTGTATTTGGTTTGAATTATTTTGTTAGTTTTTCCAGGTACTTGGAATATATAAATGCGTGCCTCCTTAGACCCAAAAAAATGGCCAGAACACCAGAAAAAAGGACCGGAAAACCTAAATTTGATTGAAGTCAACAAAAAATTGTCAACCTCGTTTCTATGTTTTATGGTAAGACCTTTGTATTAAATTATTTTTGCTGACCTGATGCTGACCTTTAAAAGATTGAGGTCAGCCGACCTCATGTTTCCTTATTCCATGGGCTGCATATATACATATACAAACATATCAAACTTACTGCTGTTAACCATTTGTGGGTGTTGACACAGAGATTTTTTCAACACGGAATAAACATGTTTGGCTTTTCATTAGTTCATTTTATAATTTTAACGATGCAATGAGGTACTCTTGAATCCTTATTAAACTGTGTATATCCGCTTATTCGGTTTTAAGACATAAACCTGTTAATTATATTAGATGATGGTTTGATGTAATCAAATAATCTGTCTATCTAATTATTTAATAGATAAAACTCATGTTAATTTTAAGTAGAAAAAACTTCTAAAGATGTTAGAAGTTTAATTTATTTTTAAAATAATTTAATTTAAGTACATTTTATAGATAATTGTATTCGTAAACGGTACGTTTGTGGTTCAAAAAACACCTCTTCCTAATTATTTTTGTTCTTTTACACATGCTAACAGCTGAATGTTAATAAAATAAAATAGAAATATCAGAAAAAAATGATTGCAAAATTTGTGTTTTAATAACATATAAAAGCATTGGGTTTTGAAAATTCATTTTTAATTTTACTTGTTTACTTGTAATATAATTCAAATAAAGGTGTCATCAATAAATTAATTTTTTATTTTATCACCTATAGTATGTGATTTTTCTATAAATTGTGATTTTATAATATTTGGTGATTTTTTTCTTACTGTTCTATTACTGTTAAGATCCTTATAAGATATTTTAACTTTTTTCTTTAGATAAAAATATTTTTTACTTCTTTTTATACATATTAAAACTAAGACTTATTATGAATATTACAAATTGTTAGTAAAGATAATTGTCTAAAAATATACATATATAGATAAACATCTACAACATTTTTTTTTAAATTCTGATTCACTCCCAACAAAGCTGCAACCACAATTGGGAGTAATTAGAAAACATAGAAAAGAGTTTTTTTTTAACTAGAATTGTTGTACGAGAATTGATTGTATGAGAAAGTTTTTTATTGAAGTAGAAAACTACATTTTCAACTTTGAGAGATCTGCCTTATCGAAATGGCGGAAAGGATCTCAAAGTTATGAAACTGATGTTGTCAGGCAATTCTGCAAAGAGTTTCTGTCGATTAGAAAAAATATGATTTAAAAATTTATAAATAATTGGCAATTATTTCAATAAGTGTTTATTGCAATAAATTTAAACTTGATTAGAGAGGAAAATTTTCAAAATTAAATTAAATTAGAAATCAATAGATTTTCTCTACACCTGTGAAAAGGAGCTAGATAATGGCAATGATAAATAAGATAATAATATAACAATTTCATGTTATATTTGAATTTAATTTGGCTAATCAGAATTAATAATCAACAAGTTAAATTAGTTCTGTACAAATTCTTCATTTTTTTTTTAATGTTTTTTTTTAATCTTCTATTTGGTAGTTAAAACATTACATCTAATACAAAAGCCAATATCTGCTTAATATCTGTATAATATCTGCTTGTAAAGGCAATAATAGGCTTAATTTTTTTTTTTTTAATTATTTTTATTATTATATTTGTTTTAAACAACTGTTCATGTATTTACATAATCTCTATCCACAAAGCCATTAATTTTTTCACAATCCCACATATTTCAAATAGTTTTCATATCTAATTTTTATTCATCTACCATTTTTTAATACAATTTTATTGCCAAATTAATTTTCTGTTATAATTTTAGTTATAAAAGAAAATAACGTTTATAGTACCAGAATATTTAACTTTTTTTACGCCTCACTGATTAATTTAACTCTAAAACACAAGCAAATTGCAAAATTAGAAAATAAATATTCAGTGAATAGCAGATAATTTTTTTTTCAAATAATGAACTATATGAATGAACTATTAAAACCATTGATTAAAAAAAAAATCTTAAAAAAGATTATAGTTACTTACAGGTCTCTCAGCTGCATCAATAAAATATATCTTTATTATGACTTCAAACTCTCCCCAACCTGTTTCTGTGACTTGATATGGTGGTTTAGTAACAGTACGAAGGGCATCTGTGTAGCTTTCATGTAACTTGAATTGAACCTTTCAAATGTAATACAATTATCTTGAGACTTTTTTATTGAAATTTCATAAGAAAGCAAGCCATGGTGATAATGGAGAGCTTTAACTTTCGCCTACACTCTCCTTAACTGGTTTACACAAGCTATTTTTGGTTTGCATAAAAGTAGAAAATTTTTTTAATCATTTAATTTATTTTAATGAGCTTTTTTAAACTGCGGGTTATAAACTTAAAAAAGGCAAAAAATGTATATTTATATTTGATAAAACTAAAACTATAAATAAAAAGCTTTATAAGATTTAATAATATATAAATAAATAAATATATATATATATATCAAATCTTTGAAAGTAATTTTCTTGTTATACGTTAAAATATGGGTAGAATTCAATAAATACGGCTGCGTATAACCTTTTTAAAATATATTTATATTTTTTCTTTATTATATAATTATTTTGATATTTTGCAGATCATCGAAATATTGAAATAATTATATATTAAAGAAAAAATATAAATATATTTAAAAAAGTTTATATGCAGCCGTATTTATTGAATTCTACCCACATATATATATATATATATATATATATATATATATATATATATATATATTATATATATATATATATATATATATATTTCAGAAAAACACGATATTTTTAAATCTTGACATACTTTGTAGTTAACATACTACATTAACATACATTTCAAAAGGAAAAATTATAATTTAAAACTCTGGATATAAATATGAAATCAAAATTTGAGGACATTACAGAGAAATATTAACAGACAAATAGAATTGTAACAAACCATCTATTTAAAGAAGTTTTTCCATTTAATACGGAGTGCTTCTTTAATTTTCAACCTGTTTTTGTTAGCAGTATCTAAAATTTTAAAACAATTATAGTTACTTAGATTTTTACAATTAACAGATGAAATTAAATGCTTATAAACATTAGATTGTTTGTCACTTGTAAGATGCTCATGAATCCTTGTTGTTAAGTGTTTGGAGGTTTCTCTAATATAACTGGCATTACATAAAAACTTAAAATTTACTATGAAAAAAGAAAAAGAAAATCAAATTGCATTTTTAGATGTTCTTATCAATAAGTCTGTTTTGCTTTTCATATCAGTTTATCACAAAAAAACATATATGGGTCTTTTACAAAAATTTTCCAGTTTTGTTCCCTATTGTTATAAAATTAGTTTTATGCTTTGTTTGATTGATAGAAAATATAAAATCAACAACACATGGCTAGGATTTGATAGGACATAAAAAATCTATCTAATGTTTTAAAAAATAACCAATATCCACCAAAAATAATTGACACTGAAATTAAATTATTTGTTGATAAAAAGTTAAATCCATCTGTTATAAATAGTATTGATAACCCTAATATAAGATATTATAAACTTCCATCTATAGGATTTTACTCAAATTTTACTAAATCTAAAGTTAATAAAATCATTAAAAAATATTGTAAAGACATCATGATTAATTTAATTTTCACTACCAACAAATTACAAAACAGTTAATGTATAAAAGATTCATTTCCTAAGCTGCTCAAATCCAATGTTGTTTACAAATTTTTTTGTGCTGGATGTAATGCCAGTTATATTAGAGAAACCTCCAGACACTTAACAACAAGGATTCATGAGCATCTTACAAGTGACAAACAATCTAATGTTTATAAGCATTTAATTTCATCTGTTAATTGTAAAAATCTAAGTAACTATAATTGTTTTAAAATTTTGGATACTGCCAAGGTTGGCATTAAAAAACCCGCCCAAAAAAACCCGCTCAATAAAACCCTAAAAAACCCGCCTAAAAAAACCCTGGAAAATCTGGGTTTTATTGGGTTTTTTTAAAAATATTTATTAGGTTTATGAACTAATATAACCAACTTTAACATTATAACTATAATATTATTAACTAAAATAATTAACTAATATTATTAACTAAATTATTATTAACTATTATTATTAACTATTATAACCAACAATAACAGCTATCAGAGCAGGTTTACTATTATTTGAATCATTATTTGGAAATATATTATTACAATTTTTATTCAAATATTTTTATCGATTGAGATTTTTATTACTTTATGTTATTCACCTCCCAAGTTGAAATTAAATGAGTAGTAGTGACCAGAGAAGCCAACACAACAGTCGATGTGGCTACCTTGTTATGGTTACAATCATCTCTCAACTTTTACGCGGTAGTGGTGTTGTGGTAGGGTGCTCGCTTCATAAGTGAGAGGTTCTGAGTTCAATCCCTACTACGTCCCTGGCAGTACCGTGCTTAACTCCTTTCTCCGCGCAGCGGCCTTGTTTGTCAAGGTTCGTGTTTCGGAGTTATAGAGTTGAGAGAGGGTTATAACCACAAATAAATAGCCTCCTAACCTTGAGGAGGTGAATTGATTAAAAAAACAAAAAAAAAAAACTCTTTAACTCCTAAACACGAATCTTTATAAACAAGGCCACTGCGCAGAGGAACAAGTTTGTTCATTTGAATTTCAAGTTCAAAGTTTAATTGAAACTTCAGTTACTACCTCCCATTCTCTAGCCTTCTTTTTCCCATTTTCTCATTGACATTTTTAATTATATAGAATAATACTTTTAAATTTAAAATAAATCAATACATATAGATAAGGCGTGAAATTTTTTTTTCTATTACAGTTCAAATTATATTTTAAAATCTTTTTCAAAATAGTTTGAAAAATTCTTGTTATAAATAATTAAACAACAATTTATAAAATATATTTAAAATAAAGTTAAAGTAGAAAATGAAACTAATTTTCAATATCATTAAACAAAAATACAAAAAATTTTTTTACAGGAACAAAATAAAAATTAAACCCAAAAAAACCAAAATTTACCCAATAAAACCCAATAAAACCCAAAAAAACCCACTGGGCCGGATTTTTTTAAAAAAACCCGGGTTTTTGCCAACCCTGGATACTGCTAACAAAAACAGGTTGAAAATTAAAGAATCACTCCATATTATATTCTAATTTTGTCTATCTAGTTTGTTTTATTTATTATTTTTTATGCTATTTACGGTATCATAATTTGTATTACAATTTTTATTGGTTTGTAACAATTCTATTTGTCTGTTAATATTTATCTGTAATGTCTTCAAATTGATTTTATATTTATAGTTTTAAACTATAATTTTATCTTTTGAAAACTTAGTATGTTAACTATGAAACATGTCAAAATTAAAAAATATTGTGCTTTTCTTAAAAATATGTTCACATTTATTGTTATTACGTTGCTGAAGATTACTTTGAACAAGTTTTTTATTACAATTGCATAAATCTTTTTCTAAATTTAAATCACATAAATCACTTCTGAGTAAAGTTTATTTAAAAACTTTATTATTTATAGTATACTTTATTATTTATATACTTTATTATTTATTATATAAAGTTGTTTACAATAAAAATATACTGTAGCGTATATTATTTACCTTTTTATATGTTTATATTATAAACTAAAAATATAAAACAACAAACAAATTTAAAATAAGTTATATTTCATAATATATTAAAATCTTTTTAAACAATTTCCACAATTTTTTAATAACTTCAGAATTTTTATTCAGCTTTGAGGACATTTTAGGCAAGTAACTCATTCATTCAAAACTAAAACGCTGGTAGTGCTGCGCTTAACTTGTTTCTCTGTGTAGCGACCTTGTTTGTTAGGGTTCGTGTTCTGGAATTAAAGAGTTGAGAGAAGGTTATAATTACAATAAAGTTCCTCAACTATAATGTTCTAGTTCTTAGGGAGGTGAATAAAATAAAATTAATAAAAACAAACAAAAAAAAACAAATTAAAAAAAAAGTGAACTTTTTAAATAACTAGAGTATTAAGAAATTTTAAAATTTAAATAACTTTAAAAGAAATAAAAATTCGACAAAAAAAAAAAAAAAAAAAAAAAAAAAAAAAAAAAAAAAAAAACAAAACAAGAAATAACTTTAAAATTTAAATAACTTAAAAAGATCTTTTTAAGAAGATATTTTTTAAGAAAAGTTTTGAGATTTTATTTAAACTTTTTTATTGAATAAACATGTTGTCATTAGTATATTTTAATAATAAAATTTTTACCATTAAATAAATTCTATTATAAATTTGTAATGTAAATTTTAAGCATATTCATTGTGTTTTAAAAAAGAATAAATAAATTTTTAAGGAGATTAAATGCTGGTGGCAATAAAAAAACTGATTTAAACCAATAGCTTGTGTATAATTGTACAGCTTTTATATAAACAAATAGCTTGTGCAAAAAGCTATCAAAAAGAAGATTATGGTTGGCTCTCCATGCTCATTTTACATGATTTTTTTTCAGCACACTTATTAATTCCCATGCACTCATTTATTCTCACGCACTCATTTATTCCTGCCATGGCTTGAGACAGTAATAATACCTTGATGATGTAGTATGCCTAATTTCACAATTATATATTTTTAATCAATTTATTAAAATGCTAACATTAGGAGGAAAAAAAAAGTAAAGACAATTTTACGCTAAATGCATAATTTTTTACACCCACATTAAAATCAATCATTATTTTTTTTTATTATTTACTACTTAAAGAAAACTTGATGAAAAAGAAAAAACACCAAAAAAAAATCTGTTACCTTTTTAATAAATGAAGATAAATCTTCAGTTTCTATAAAAGGCTTCACATACACAGTCCATGAGTGAGTGTGACCATCATTCTCTCTTTTTTTCCCAAAATATTTTGATTCATTTCCAAATACAATTTGTTTCACAACTGTTTTTCCTCTTGCTCTGGCACTTTCCACAGGAGAAAATTCTGTCATATTTTAAGCTAGTATACTACATAATAGAATTTTTTTTTATAACTTCGTTTTTAATAAATTCTTACCTAAAAGAACTAAAAATCTTTCTCTAATGACCACTAGACCCTCAGAGTTATATTATTCTTGCACCTTTAAACTTTTTTTTTTTCTTCAAAAAATATAAAGATAAATTTAAAAAAAATAAACTTAAATTTAAAAATAAAAAATGATTTAATAAAAATTTTTTGGATTAGATTAAAATATTTTTACCAAATAAAACAATATTTAAAAACTTTTTCAAACTTTAGATAAAATAAATAATTTATTTAATATTAAAAATTATATTAGTATTAAAAATTGTATAAATAAATTTACTCACAAGTTCATCTAAAAAATTTTTTTTTTTTTAAAACAAAATACTTTAAATTACATTTGTTATTAGGAATAATCTTTCAACTCCTGGATCGACTCCTTAAATTCCTTGTAGAGTGTTTTCCTCTATCTCTATCTCTGCTCCTAGATCTACTCCTTGAACTTTTATGATGCCTGTAACGATCTTTAGCTTCAAATGATTGATTTTTTGATGTTATTAATTCTGAAGATTTCTCAAATCTTCTTTTTTCTTCTTTTTGTTCCCCTTCTTTATACTTTTGTAAAGAACCTTTCCTTTCATGTTTTGTTTTATCGCTTTTTTTATCTTTTTTACTTTTTTTTTCTTTTTTCTTTTTCTTCTTTTTACTTTTCTTAAACTCATCCACAAGATTATTTTTAGGAGATGGTGTGCAAGGAGATGGTGTGCGAGGTGCACAAGAAACTTCAACTTTGTCTTTGTACTTTCCAGATTCATCTTTTTCATCACCTTTAGGCGGCCTATATTCACCCACATGATCAACTCGTATAGTTCTTCCTCCTAGCTAAAAAAAATTGTAATAGAATTACTATAAAATGTAGAAGAAAAAAAACTTAAATTGCTGTTTGACCACATGTGAATTAGTGGCACTTTTGAAACTAAAAATATATTAAATCTGCTTTTTCTAGGACTATTATTAAAACACTCAGTCAATAATTTATTCAAAATGACTAATAAAAAATACTAATTATAAAATATTACATATATTATTAAAAATCATTTTCAAATATTTTAAACTTTACAATTACATAACTAAAGAAATTTGTTATGAAATTATTTGTGTTTTAAGAGAGTTTGTAATGAAATCATTTGTGTTTTAAAAGAATTTGTTATGAAATCATTTGTGTTTTAAAAGAATTTAGGATTTGAAAAGCAAACAGTTGGGCAGCAGTGACATTTCATTGTGTATCTAAGATGGAGTATCTTACCTTTAATTTCTCATGGGAAATCAAAATTATTTGAAAAATTATTTATAATAATATTACCAATATTATTATCAGATATATAAAAGCTTAATTCTTTATTTATACTTAAAAAAAAAAAACATTACAATATTTAAAAATATTTACTTTAATTCCATTAAAATTGTCAACAGCAAGAATTGTACTCCTTTGGTCTTCATAACACAAAAAACCATAGCCTTTAAATTTACCAGTCTTTTTATCACGGACTAAGTTTATGTTAACAATTTCACCATACCTTAAAATAAAACACTTTGAAATAAAAACTTCATGATACTTATTATTAAAACATAAAATAAATACTTAAATATTTTAATTAAATATGATTAAGTATTATTAAATTTATAATAATAACTTTTTATATAAATAGTGTATACAGATATACATTTGTCAACATTATTTATTAACTTATATTCATATGATTTTTTTGGAAAAATGAGAAAAAAATGAAGGATAATGTTTTTATCAAAAGTTAAGTTTAAATATAATTTTTTTAACAACCTCATTATTTTATATATTAGAACAAAACAACATTAAAAAAAAGACAATAATTCAGAAAAATCAAATCATCTTTGATTTGCAGGTAGACCTGTTGCTGGGTTGAGTATCGATGGATGCTACTCAGATCCAAACTGGATTTACTTTACAGGCCTGAACCAAGATCCGTCCTGGCCATTATGCACTGTTTTTGCCTGTCTCATCATAATCAGGCCTTGTGATGAATAAAACCTGTGCGACGCATAAGCACGACATGATTTTTGGCGTCATTAAATTCTTTTTATATGCTTTTCATATTTATCGACATTAACTGCACCAATTACCGCAAAACAGGCTTGGTCGGGAAGCGGGAGCGATCGCTCTCGATTGCTGACCACGTAAATAATATTTAGTTGCGAAAAGCTGGCCAGATTTTTTAACTGTTTTGAGAACATTTTAAAAAGCAAAAAAAAAAAAAAAAGCGACAAAGATTAATTGGACCGATGAGAGACAGTTGACAGACAAAATGACAGACAAAAAAAAAAAAAAAAAAAAAAAAAAAAAAAAAAAAGGCAAATAAAATATCTTTAAACGCAAAAAAACTTAAAGCTAAATAAATTTAGAACAAATATTTTCGAAACATCGCTCTTTTACAATTTTTTTTATAAAATTAAGCGATGTTTTTTATATAAAGTAACAACTTACCATTGTTTAAAAAGGAAACAAATATTCTTTATTTAACTAAGTTTGCAAGTTTTAAGCTTAATTTATTTTATAAATAAAAAAGTTAATTTTTTTAATACCTATTTTAAGTTTCGCGTAGTTTGAAAAGTTTAACATATTTAAAGCGATTCTTCTTAGTAAGATAAACAAATGAAATAATTAAATCATTGAATTACTATAGGAATTAAATTATCAAGATAGAAATCAACTAAAAAGGTTAAAAATACTTAATGACTAGGAAGCGAAACTGCTTCACAATATCGCTGATGATGTTTAGTGAGTGGGCTTTTTAATTTTAATTAGTATTTAAAGCAGCAAAAAGTATAACGAGTTTTGAGAATGGCAATTTAAGCGAAAATAATTAGAGTTAGTAAACCTATATCTAGAAACTTTTCTTTAAATCTAATTATTTGCTATATATATTTGTGTTCTGTCATGACCTCAGGCGCGATGCTTGTTCATCCGCGAGTTACTTTGTATGCGTTGTTTGTGTTTAGTAACCAGAAAAATCTTATATGTTTGTTTCGTACATAAACTTAAATGTTCTCAAAACGACTAAAAAACCTGGCCAGTTTTACGCAACTAAATATAATTTCCGTGGTCAGTATTCGAGAGCGATCACTCCCGCTTCCCGACCAAGCCTGGCAAAACTACTTTAAATCATTAATGTAGAAAAATGTTTTGGAATGTTTCGTTTTTTAAATTGTATAAACATTTGTTTATTTTCTCGACGTTTGACACGTTTTGTCTATACTAAACAAATAAAAAACATAACTAAACATTTTAAAAAGATTATATAATATGCTAATATTTGATTTTTTTTTCTCAAATATGTAATTTAAAGTTTTTCAAATAATTATTTTTTCTTTTTAAAAAGTCAGCGAGTAATAAACTGGAAATTTTAATATTGTACGATTAAAAACTGTGCAATAGCTAGTATTTTTACTAGCGATTTTATAAATATTTATTTATTTATTTATTTTCATAAAGAGGTTGATAAGCACAATCACTCGTATTACTAAAAAACTTTAACAAACGTTTTGAATAGATTTTTAATGTTTACAAGGAATTATATTTTTGGTAAAATAAAATAAAATGTTAGAATAAAAATCTTATAGGTATAAAAGACATATTTCAGCGAAAAAATTATTCTTAAAAATTATTATTAAAAATTATTCAAAAACTATTGACGTTCTATTTTTCAGCAGCTGTTCTTGAGCACGTTTAGTCGAGTTTCGGTAACTTTTAACAAAAAAGCGATTGTTATTATTAAAGTTACTTTTTACAAAAACTTTAATAGCTGTACTTTTTTATTGAATCAAGTAGAATACGTTTTAATATTATTCCTTTTATCTTTTTTTTATTTGCGCTTACCAATTTTTGAAATGTTTCCTCTTAAATACTTTAAATACGTCTAACAGTTAATAAATATTTTTAAATCTATGGAATAATTTTAAAACCTAACAAACCCCTGTAAAATAATTATTTAAGTTAAAAATCTAAAACTAAAAAAAAGTATTTTTGTTCAATTTTATCGACAACTTTGCTATTGCTGAATAATTTTATTAAAATGTTAGCTTAAAAAGATTTAAACTTTTTTTTTAATCTGAATTTTTTCTACTTGTAAATAATGAGCATATTTAATTTTTTTGTAATTCAAACTTTTATATCAACAGCGTGCGGTTTTTAAAATACTTTATTAAATGTTAAAATAATCGTAAATTACTTCATTAAAATTCCGCTCAAAAATATATTTAAATATACTCAAACAAAAAATATTTTGCTCTACGCAAATAGCCCTAGCTACACGCAAAATCGCTCTTGGACAACGTAAAATTCACATCGCCCGACGCTTTATCCCAAGGCCTGCATCATGGCTGCAAAAGGTCTAATTAAAGTAGTTTTTATCAGGTTTTTAAATGAAAACATTTAAAAACTAAAGAAGTTAAAAAAAAAATAATATAGAATAAGTATCCTATAGATTCCTAAGGAGTAAATATCCTATATTTTATTAGCATTATGTCCAATTAGGCATAACTTGCACAACTAGTTTGGATATTATAAGACCCATACCCGACCCGTTTCTTTAAGGGATCTTATTCGTTTTGGGTCTGGTGGGTTTTGGATCCATAATAAGAGATCAGTTTAAAAGGTTGGGTCTGTATCTAGATCATTAGCAGCCCTATTTCAGGGTCTTGTATAAATACATATATATATATATATATATATATATATATATATATATATATATATACATATATATATAAATTACAAATTAGTAGAAAATCACTTAACAAAATTTTTTTTTCATTTTACACTGTGTTTCATCAACAAAGACTCATCAGAAATAAATAAATAAATATATATATATATATATATATATATATATTTATATATATAAACATATATTTATATATATATATATATATATATATATAAATATATATATATATATATTATATATATATATATATATATATATATATATATATATATATATATATATATATATATATATATATATGTATATGTATTATATAAATATATATTTATATATGTATATATATATATATATATATATATATATATATATATATATATATATATAAATATATATTTATATATGTATATATATAAATATAAATATATATATATATATATATATATTTATATATATATATATATATATTTATATATATATATGTATGTGTGTGTGTGTGTGTGTGTGTGTGTTTGTGTAATTTTACACTATTATTAAAACTACATTAAGTATATTGCTAAAAAAATTATTTACTGTGAAAAAACTGCAAGGACATCACCTTCTGTCAAATCATAAGGTAAGCCACCTAAAATATTTAAAATTAAAAAATTATTTTTTTAATTCATTTTTTGTTTAATTATAAATTTAAAAATTTTCTATAAATTATTAAAAAGATTGTTATAAATATTCTCCTTTTCAAACATAATACAATAAAAGTCTACAGATAAATTTTATATATTAAAATTAACTAAGCATAGTTTGTAGCATGATGTGTATTTGATAGCATAGTTTGTAGCATGATTTGTATTTGATAGCATAGTTTGGCATGAGTATTGTCTATTCAAAACCTCAACAAGTTTTTCTTTAAAGGTTTTTTGTTGAGAAACGCAAGTATAAATATGTTTGAAAATGTTTCAGGTGGGTCATTTCATATAAGATTACATAATTCAAAAATATTTAAACTGCATATTATAAATATATTTTTTTAAATTAAATTAACAAAAACAATAGTGCATCTTAAAAAAACTACCTTCACTTTGCCATTTATTTTAATAGGAGATATTTAAAATTTGAAAGTAATTTCTAATATTTTATAATATAAAAAACATGGATTTTTTAACATGGAGTTGTGTTAAACCTTTTTAATTTTTATTTTTTATTTTTTAGAATAAACATTAATGATTTAATAAGTTTGTTAATAAGTGATATTATTATCTCAAATATTAGTCTTAAATATTGGTATGTTACTAAATAGAAAAAAGGCGTTTTCACCATCACAAACGCGACTATTATAACAAATTTAGTTTTTTTATACAACCTAAATTTTATTTTTTTTAATAAGAAAATATTTAGCAAAAGCATTTTAGTTGAAGTGAATATAACTTTGTCTGGAAAAAAGTAAAACGCAATATCTTTTTTTGTCATAACAGCGACATAACAAATGTTTCAATGTTTAAACAAGTATTTCGATGTTTAAATACATCGCATTTCAAATGCGTTGATGTTCAAATGCGTCAAGGAGGAAGATTTAATTCAAAAAACCTTAATTAAAACACGTGTTATAAAGAGTAATTTAAACAATTGATCTAACTGTGTATTTAAAGGTTATGAACTAATTTAAAATATTTGATATATTTTACATAAAAATACAGGAAAAAATAAATTTTAAAACAATGCTCAAATCAAGTTTGTTAAGATTACAGAGAAAGAAAGAAAACTGAATTAAAAGAAATAGAAAAAGAACAAAGTAATATTCGTAGCCAACAATGAACGCCAGAGCAAGATTTGAAAAATAAGGAGCTTGCTAAATTATGACAGCGTAAACACAGAGATCTTCAAAAAGTTCAAGGTATCATTGATATTCCTTGTTATTCTTCTAGTCAAATGGAAGAACCCGTCTATCATTCAAGTTTGTCAGAAACGCGTGCTGTGAAGTGCATTAAATAGGCTTTACCAAAGTCGCCACGAAAAGCAGATTATGTCATTAAAAAGTTAGCAATAGAAATGAACATCTCTTTTCCATATATATCAAAGATAAAAAAGCACATCCATTTATCTTCTAGTGTATTCAATCATGTAGTAGAGTCTTACATCTGCAAAAAAATATATCGATGGACTCCAGGTATTAAAGACTTTATAAAAATTGATGGTGAAAAATTTCAAAAACTTTACTTGTTACATAAATAAAGGACATGCTATGCCCTGTACGCAGAAGAAAAGGATTTTATTATTATATGCAATGCTTTATCCTCAAACCTTAATTTTGAACCTTATAACGCAAACTAGGTAAACAAATGGATTTTTTGCAGCTCTCTCACTCCAGATTGCCTCTTACTGTCATGTAGTTTTTTTGTTATCTGTCCTAACAACCTCACCATCCAAAGAGCAAAACAAAAAATACATTGAAGTCAGTTACATAAATTGGTACAAAGACAAGGTTACAAATCATGTACAGCAGGAATCGATCAAACAGGCTTTGACAAAGTTTTTGAAAATGCTACCTCAATTTTGGATTCACCATTTAATTTTACGTGCTTCAAAGTGCTTATTAGAGTCAATCTCAAATAACAATCTTCACTGTTGCTGTTTATGGTAAAGATTTTAAAAAAATATGGTTGCTTATTTAACAGATAAAAATGATCACAGCAAAACATGCGCCAGTGTTTTCCTTGAATTAACTTTGGAGGTATTTTTCTTAAACAGTTCAATTTTTATATCTTTTATTTTTATCTTTGAGGGATGCATAACAATTGTAATTTATTTTTTAAAGGCTTACACAACCAATTTAATTATACTTAAAGTAACGCTGAGGAGTGATGGCCCATCTCAATTTAAAAACCGCTTTGTGGTAAAATTCCTGAAGTATTGTCAAGTGAAATTTAATATTCCAACTTTCAAGTGGAATTTTTTTGCTACAGCCCACAGAAAAAGAGGGTAGGAGGAACTTTAAAAAGAATAGCATGATAAAAGGTTAAAGCAAGACAAGTTATTATTCAAAATGAGTGGCAGCTATATGCAAAGATTCGACGGTAAATTTATTATATTTGACAGAAGATGAATTCAATTAACATTATAGTTAACTTAGCGATACTTTACTGCTTAAAATAAAGTGATTTGTTACGTTTTTTATTGATTGTTGATGTTTCTTTTATTTTTTTAAGGATAAGTATATACATTGTTTAAATTGTTTATATATTATTAAAAACTTTTGCATTGCTAAAATATACCTTAAAAATACCTATAATGTAATGTTACCTGATAGTAAAATATTTGGTCACGACCGCGACTTTTTGCTAGCTACCATATTATGTGAAACATGAACAAACAAAAAAAAAAAAAAAAAAAATTGTATTATATTTAACATAACATCCTATAAAAAATAATTAAAAAGATAAAATTTTTAATTTGTTGAAAGTTTTTTTTTTAAAAAAAAAACTACTTAAACAAGTTTTGTTTCTGTTTTTGTACCTGTCATGACCATGACTGATTTTATTTTGAAATAACAATGCAACTATAGCATTTAACTTGGCAAAAGACTCCCACATCAAGTGGCTGTAGCAGTTGCAAACAGTGTGCCGGCAAACACAAAATAGTTATATAATTTTCAACTGCTTTTTTAAGTTTTTAAATGTGGCAATATTTTACACTGCTAGATTAGGTTGATGGGCCATTTTATATTGCTGCTAATAAACTTGAATTTTATGTAGGAAGTTCCTTTGAAAAACTTATAGCTTATATAATTCTTTCATAGATGTTTATATATAATTCATATATATCACATCAGTGGTGAACAATAAATGCATTTCCTATAATAATGTCTACATTTTGAGAAGATTGGACACAAGCATTTTGTAAAGATTTACATAAGCTTGTTTACATTGAATATTATGTTTTGTACAAAAACAAGTAAGTTATCAAAGTACTGCCCAAAGTATTTTTGGGCAGTTGCATTTTTACAGTTGAACAGAGAGCCCGGTAACTAATTTCAATCATTACACATAATTGCTAGAAAAATATCAACTCTAGAAAAACAATGTAGATGAGTAGGAAATTAAAAATTGATAAAAAGGAAAATAACGCAATTCTATTTCATTTTTTTCTACAGTTAAGTTAAATTGTAATACTAGATTATTGAGTATTTTAATTTATTTATTTTTTACTGTATTTGTACATATATATTGCTAACATTAAAAAACATTCCAATATATATATATATATATATATATATATATATATATATATATATATATATATATATATATATATATATATATATATATATATATATATATATATATATATATCTGCAACCCATGTTTCCTTTTAAGAGCATTTTTTTGCGTTTAAGATGTTCCCAAAAAAAAAAAAAAAAAAAAAAAAACTTTTTTTTGAAATCTCACACTCACATTCTATATGGTAAAATAAATTTAAATTTAAGAAAGCAAAATTATGTGAAAATTTCAAAAACAAAATTATTTTAAAATGAATAATCAATCTATTAACATGTCAACATACCCTTATAAAACCTATAAATAAATAACATACCTATAAAAATAAACGCACTATCTTTATACTGAGAATGCCAAGTAAGATTATGATCAAAAATACCATTTTGTAAATCTTGATCATTAAGTTTTCCAATATTTCTCACATTTCTAAACAATTATTATTCCAATATTTCTCACATTTCTAAACATAAATATTATTCCAATATTTCTAACATTTCTAAACATAATTATTATTCCAATATTTCTCACATTTCTAAACATAATTATTATTCCAATATTTCTCACATTTCAAAACATAATTGATATTCTTGAAATCAGCCTCAAGAGTGATATTTAAGAAATCGGTCTACTAGCTTATATTTTCAATAATTATCAAAATTCAATCAATCAAAAATTATCAATATTAGGCCAACAAAACTTTACTTTTGAATTATTTTTTTTGTATACAAAATGTTTTTCTTATACTATTCCTTATTCTGATATCAAATATGCAATCCTTTTTTTCTATCGAGCCAATTTTTAAAGATATTAGGGCTTAAATCCATAATATTTGGGGGTAAAATCCCTAATATTATTAAATAAAAACTTCTTAAAAAGTAGGTCAAATTGGGTCTCAAAAGAAGCCTTTTATTTACAAAGATTTCAAAAATAATATTTGTTTGTAATAAAAATGAATATTTTTAAATTTATTAGTGAAAAACATTTTTTTTTAGATTATTTTTATACTATTAATATAATCTCTGTAAAAAAATGCTTTATTTGAGACCCAGGTTGACATACTTTTAAAGAAGTTTTTTTTGTTTTCAATGATCTTTCTTGAATATTTTAAGAAAGTATGTATGTCTATAATATTTCTGATTTGCAAGTATATGGGTTAAAAACAGTCATCCATCTAAAATAATGATTTTAACAGAATTTTACATTGTATAGTTTAAAACTTTTTGAAATGAAAAGAAAACAGAAAAAACAACATTGATCTGTCAGACAATAACAAATGAAGAATACAAATTGATGTTATCAGAGGCAATAAGCAAATTAACAGCTCATTCCTACGTTGCAAAATGTCAAGCAAGATACCTAAGACAACAAAAGGAAAAGTTAACAAAAGACTGCATTATTATTTTAGATGACAGAACACTACATATTTATGATTCAAGATAAAATTAAAATTGGTGCCAAAGTCAATGCACATTACACCCAGTTCCCCTCTATTTATTAAACGGAAATGACCAGCTTAAAGAAAAATGGTTTTGCTTTATGTCAGAAGATAATGAGCATGACATTAGTTTTGTGTATTAAGTTTAGACAGAAATAGTTTAAAGGAAAACCATTTTTTTTTTTTTCAGATGGCTATATGGCACAGTATAAAAACCACAAAAACCTTTACAATATCTGTTTCCATAAAGATAATTTTGAAATTGATGCAGAAAGGATATTTTTTGCCACAATTTATGGCAATTCACCATGTGATGGTTTTGGTGGCACTGTGAAACAATTAACTGCAAACACAAGTCTACAAAGGCCCATAAACGACCAGATATTAAATTGTAACAAAATGTTTGACTACTGTACAAATAATATTAACAGGATTTTTTTTTCTCAAGATTAAAAAAGAAAGAATGACAAAATTGCGCACTACCTTGGAAAACGTTTTCAGCTAAGTAGAATAACTCCTGTAACTTAAAGTTATTATCAATTTAAACCAAAACCTATAGATGCTATTAGATTTAAACAAACAAGTGAAGATTTTTAATATAACAGGCATGTTTTCAATTTCTGGCATTCAAAGTATTTAACCTAATCAGCAAATTAACATCAATACATTGAAATTCGGTGAACTTATTCTGTGTAAATTTTGATACGTTTTATTAGATTGGTATAAATGAAATTGGCAATATTAAGCAAGATGTTATGGTAACATTTATGTAACCCTAGAGTCCTTTTAACAAAGTTTTCTGGCCATCTAGAGAAGATTAGTGCTGGGTTTTGATTATTAACATAATTTGTATTATTGATGCACCTGTAACAACAACTGGACATATGTATACAGTTGACGCATCTAAGCAAACTTTAACATTAGCTTGACACTTTATATTTTTGTATTTTACTTAGTAAATAATTAAAAATAAAATGGAACAAGTACAAACAAAAAAAAATTTTAAAGACAATATTATTAAAGTTATCTTTACAGTATTGAAAATGCAAAGGAAAAAAAAAATTATTTTGAATAAATAGGGCATGGCCCCAGTGTCCCTGGGCCATGGACCCTCTGTCATTTTCCCTAGAAACAATTTTAAAACACGTTCATTCGGACTACATAAACACTGAAAGTTTCAGAGCTTTATCATAAGATTCCACTACAAAAAAATGGGACACTAGCTCCAGTCCCCCTCCCCTAATGTCTTAAGACCCTGAAAAATTTTTAACACGCACATTCATTGGCACTATAGAAATGCCAAAATTTTCAGAGCTCCAGCTAGTCTCAAGGCTAGTGAAAAAAAAATTGCAATATTCTGCTACAAAAAAGTAAGGACTGTGCCCTGGTATCCATATTAGAAAATCCATATACTAGCATTAGAGGAAATTAATAATTATAAGAGAGGCAAAAGTAGAGGCAAAATAAGTTTTTAAAAGTATATATTACGTATATGTTATGCTAAAAACACAAATGCATGATGAAAAAATGTTTTTGGAAATAAATTTCTCATTTAACAAATTTTACAAAGAGACATCCAAGTTAATTGCATCTAAAACTCTGCCATTTTGTTTCAAAACTTCACGAATTAAGTCTATTTTAGGCTTTGGAACAGCAGTAAACAAAATGCTTGTTGAAACAATTTTCTCAAGAGCAGAAGCTACATCATTGATATTTAATAATTGCTCTTTATTTTTTGATAAAGGATTAAATTTCTTTTTTTGTGTAGCTACCAATTATTTTTAATCTTTTTTGCCTAAATCTTCACAACTAAAGTCAAGATCTTTGATTTATAGTCTTCTTTTCAAGATGCCAGCCATTTATTTGAAGTGCTAGCACATGCAGGATTTGTTAAAATATTTCTTACAGCAGCCTCAACTCTGTACTGCAGCTGTAAAAAATGGTTGTAGCAACATGATTACAAGTTTCACCCTTGCCAGCCATGCATGTACAATGACAGGATCTTATTTTAGCACTTTTTTGAAACCAGGAAGATTTAGAGTAAGTTTATACTTTTGAGTTTTTATAGTCACTTAAGTTTTTATTTCCAAGTTCTAATGGGTTAAACATTAAATAGCTAAATATATGTGGATATAACAACATTGGCCAGAATGGTATACCCTCTTGTTTGTCAATCTAGCCATCAAGAATTTTAAATGGATCAGGTATCTGCATAACATCTAATTTTAGTTTCAAATGATATTCTTTTTTTAAATCTGCTTCAACTTTAAGTATTGTTTTTATTAGAATATTGCTTTCCATTGTAGCAAATATACGAGCCACTAATTTTTCTTTTTTACCATTTAACTTTATTCCCTTCAGATAGTTTTTTAACTCTTCAATTTTCATCATTGAAATCATATCAAATATTTTAAAATTAAATTCATAGTAAATATTTGTTTTAACAGTATTAGTTAGATGTTTGTACTTTGTTTTCTCAAGTAAATATTGTATATTATGAATAATGAAAGTATCTTTTTAATCTTCCTATTTAAGTCCAGACCTCAATCTTACTAGTGGAAATACTACAACAAAATATTTAGTTTTGATCTGCAAAAAAAAGTAAATGCAATTTTTTTACTACCATCTGGTAGTAAAAAAATTGTATTTACTCTTTCATGATGTATTTTAAATAAGAAAACTGTTTTGGGTGAGTTTATTTATCTCAAACAAGAGACAACTTTCCAACCAGGGGCTTGACCCCACAGACAAAACAAGCAATTAAAAAGCTCAAAATTAAACTTGTAGAAGGTTGTTTAGCCTCCCCTAACTTCAAAGCTGCGCTAACTTTTGAAACAGATACCTCTGGGAGGAAAGTTACTTCAACTAGGCAGACTCGTGGCTCAAGAATAATAACAAACGCTGAAAGAAAACACGCAATTGTTGAGAAAGAAGTGGCTGCTATAGTAGAATGCTGTAGAAGATGGAAACACAAAATTAATTCAGTACCATATTATAATTACAGACCAAAGATTCATTTCCTTTATTTTCAATAAACAGATTTCAACAAAAATTAAAAACGAAACAATAACTTGATGGCATTTCGAATTAGCAGACATTAATTATACAATTTCATACATGTCAGGAAACCAAAATATCGTAGCTGATGCCCTTTCTCGATGTTGCTTGATTCAAAATACCATTAAAACCTTTTACAATATTCATTCCCAACTATACCATTCTGGAGTTTAAAAAAAATGATACATTATTGCAAAACCCGAAATCTACCCTACTCTACCACTAAAATTAAACAACAAAAAAGCCAATTTATAACTTGTAATGAACTCAAACTACATTTCTACAAAGCTCCCACTGGTTATCTTTTTCAGGTAATGAGACCTTGGGAATGCTTGTCTATGGACTTTGTCAGGCCTTTACAATCCAAACTACTCCATATCACTCACAAGATTAATGCGAACGAATGAATGGAACAATACTTAAAACTGTTAGTCTGCCCTGAAAACATTGAGTCTGGGAAAAGATAGGTGGGAGGTAGCATTGCAAATGGTTCTATCCTCTATAAAAGGACTTTTGTGTATTGCTACTAACAAAACACCCCACCAGAGGCTGATGAATATTCAGCGTTAATCAATAATCGGTATGGTTCTACCAAACTTTTTAACAGAGCAGGATTCCATAATTTTATACAGACGTCAGATACGAATAAAAGGAGATCAACACGTTGACAGAATTTAACTATTAGAAACATTATCGCCCCACTTCGCATGTGTCAAACTTCAAAATGGCAAAATTGATATGGTCTCAACAAAAAATCTTTCCCCACTACAAGATGTAAATCCATCAATAGAACCAGTCCAACAACAGTCCGATGGCTTGAAGAAGGACGAAACTGTCTTTAGTAACAACATCTGCAATTCTGGAAATAGAAAACAAGATAAATTAAGTGACACCAATAAAGTAGCTTCAAACCTACAGCATTTGTTTAAGTATCCAATAAATAATAGCATCTCTTATGATCAATCAACTACAACAATATCTACCCAACCATCTAAACAAAAAGTTACTACTCCTGATAAACTGATTCAAAAAAAAGTCAATTTGAAAATAAATTTTTTCAAGTCAATTTCAAAAAAGTTTTTTGCATAAAATAACATAAAAAAATTCTTCAGGAAATAAAAATTGGCTTTATTGGATTTTGATTTTTTTTTTCAAATTTCACAGAGAATTTTACATAAGTTGAGAGAATTTCACATAAGTCAAAAGTTAATAATATATTGACTGAAATAACTCTTTTATTTAAAATTTTTCCTCATAGAAGACATTTTAGGAGACTTCTTACCTTAGGAGACTTTTTATTTGCACTTATTGGATACTACACAATCCATTAATTACTTGAACGTGGTGTTAAAAAATTAACATTTTTTATAAGGAATTTAATTGTGCATACTTGTAACAAACATTGCATTTGCTTATAAAAAATTAACATTTTTTATATGGAATTTAATTGTGCATACTTGTAACAAGCATTGCATTTGCCAAGTGATAAAATCAATCAATATATCAAAACAAAACAAGAAATTAATAAATGTGTTTATAACGTCAGGTTTTAAATAATTGATGGATATAATTGATTAACTGTTCTATTCTTTAGTAAAATAGAAATTAATTTTTTTTTTGTTACTTTTTGTTTATTAAATAAAAAACCTTTTATTAAACTTTATTTAAACAGCAAAAAAAAAATTATTTCATTGTCAATGTAGTTTTTGTACAGAAACAAAACGTAATATAAAAATTGAACTTTTTTTTTTCCTTCTTCTGAATATATTTATTTATAAATAAGTACATAAATGTTGTTCAAAATATTGTAACAATAGTGTGTGGTTTTTAAAATCATAATTACTTCATTTATCAAACTGTCTAAAACACTTCTATAGACTCATTTAAATACAAAACTTTTTTTTAGCATAACTAAAAAAGTATTGTGTACGCTCTTTTGCTACATAAATTTTGTATGTAAAATGCACAAAAAGTAATGCAGAATATAACATCACCTTTAAGAATATTATATTTATTTTCACTTTTCAAATTAAAAAATTTTAATTTTAATTTCTTACTTTTTACTTTTATTTTAAATTATTCACTTTTTACTTTTACTTTAAATTATTTACTTTTACTTATTTAAAACTAGAATTTACAAATCAATATTTTTTTTAAAAAACAGAATATATATTTAGACTAGCATATTTACACAAAAACTTTGATTTTTTTAAAAAAAATTACTCACGTTAATGGATTCATTCCTGCAATACTAAAATCTTTTTTGGTACTATTAATTCACCTTTTTAAACAAGCCTGATATTTCTAAAAAAATATATGAACCCATACTAATATATATTTTATTATTATTATAAATTTAATACGTAAAATTGCATAAAACCTTACATTACAAAATAATATATATATATATATATATATATATATATATATATATATATATATATACATATATATATATATATATATATATATATATATATATATATATATATATATATATATATATATATATATATATATATATATATATATATATATATATATATATATATATATATATATATATATAATTTTTCTTCGTATATAAACATAAACATAACATAAAACATTCAACTCATTAAGATTTTATATTTAGATTTTTTTTTTTAATAAAATAATAATTTTAATGAGAAAACAAAAATAGATTGCACATTTATGATAGCAATAAAAACTCTTGTTTCTGTATTTCTCCAGGCAATATAAGCATTAGGGTGGAGCGATTTTCATAGCAAAAAAAAAAAAAAAAAATTAAAAATTAATATTCCTGAGACAAGAATCGATGTCTATGAATTATAAGATTAAAGTAAAAAAATATTTTTTGATTTTGATGAGATCTTGAGGTTTCTCTTTGGATTCTAAATTCTTGACGGATCCTAATATTTTTGAATTTTTTTTTTTTCTAAACCATATCAACCTTGGACTCAAAAAAAGCAGAAAAAAATGCTTGTTTTATCAACAATAAATTTATTAAAAAAAAAATTTAAAGGGAAAAAAATATTTGCAAAAATTTACCCTAAGACTAGGGGTTTTTTTATAAAAAAAAAACGAAACTATTTATTTTTTCAGTTTTGAAATAAAACAATTATTATTTTCAAAATCAGCATATTATTCTGCTTCTTTTGAGTACCAGGTTGATATAGTTTGGAAGAAAAAAAATTTCAACAATATTAGGATCCGTCATAAATTAACCCTTTCGTTACCGATATCTCGCATAGCGGTAGTAAAATATGTCATTTAAATACCAGTACACCGCATAGCGGGGGGTTAGGAGTTTTGTTTTCAGTCAAACCGGGGTTTTTTGAGCAACTTTAAAACTTAGCTTAATAGAAACTCAAATAATAATTCAATCATACAGCGAAAACCGCATAAAAAAAGCTTTGTTAGATAAGCTGATATTCAATTTTGAAAAATTGCTAGTTCATTGTGTTTACGCCAAAAGAAAATCTCAAATATGGAAATCTCAAATATGGAAATATGAATATGGAAATATGGAAAATCTTTTATTCCAAATATGGAAAATTCCAAATATGGAAAAATCAGAAAATCTCAAATATGGAAATATGAATTTTAAACTTTGTACTTAGAGAAAGTGACGAAGATAGCAATCAAGATATTGATCTTGGTAATAGTGACTTTAGCAATGATAAAGATGATAATTTAATAGAATTTGAAGTTGAAAACAGTATGACATCTACTAATATTCAAAAAAATGTTCAAATTACATATAAAAACAATGTCGATAAATTGGAAGCTGTTGCTCCTTTTTCTAATTCTATTTTGTCATCATTTAACAATACTGACAGTGAAAGCTTTTGTGTTTCAAGCACAAGTGACAGCGAAAATAAGACTTTTGTGACTTATAAAAAGAGCCCACGTACAAGAGGTGGAGGTACCAGACGTGTACTTGTTCGAGAGGGTACTGGTATTCTATGTAATAATAAATTAACTTCTGTTAAAAGTGTTGCTGATCCTATACATGCTAATGATAGAGATGCTATTGCTGGTAATGCTGCATTTAATGTAAATATACTTAATAATGTTGTCCGAGGTAGTATGCAAAGCCATTGTAAAGTGCATTATCGTGGTAGAGTGAGTAATTGTGGTAGAGTGCCTAGTTGTGGTAGAGGTGGTTGAGGTAGTGGTAGAGGTGGTTGGTAGTGGTAGAGGTGGTTGTGGTAGTGGTAGAGGTGGTTGTGGTAGAGTGCCTAGTTGTGGTAAAATACCTAATAATCAGAAACTTCCTCTGTTAACTTGGGAAAAAGTTAAGAAAGATGTTCCTGCTAATCTAATGGATTTCCCTAAATTTTTTTAAGAAGGTTTACATGCTAGAATGGGGCAAAACCCAACTTGTCTTGCTTTTTTTGAACTCTACTTTCCAAATGAACTTGTAACTTTGTTAGTTGTAGAAACTAATGGGTATGCAAGTCAATTTTTTACTGCCAACCCAGATAACTCTTCTTTGTGGGAGGAAACTAATGTTGCAGAAATTAAAACCTTTATTGCTGTCATTCTTTTAATAGGAGTTATTTATAAAGCCAAACTTAGTATGTATTGGTCAAAAGATGTATTGTATAATACTCCAATTTTTTCAGAAGTTAATAGTCGAAATCGTTTTAATATATTATTAAGATTTTTTCATTTTAATAACAATGAAGATGAAAATTATGATGCAACTAATGAAAACAGAGATCGCCTTCACAAAGTACAACCAGTCATAAACATTCTACGTAACCGATTCAAAATTGTATATAAACCAGGAAAAAATCTCAGTGTTGATGAATCGCTTGTCCTTTATAAGGGTCGTTTACATTTCTGTCAATATATTATAACCAAGCGTGCCTGTTTTGGTATAAAGTTATATAAACTAGCAACTTCAAAAGGAACAACACTAGATTTCTTTGTATACTGTGGAAAAGGAATGTTTGCTGATGATGATATGATCAGCAAGAATACCATCTGTGCTGATGGAACCTTTTATTGGTCAAGGTCACACTCTTTATACAGACAATTATTAGACTAGTCCAACACTTGCAAAGTATTTTCTTGATAACAATACACATCTATGTGGCACAATTAGGTCAAATCGATATAATTATTCAAAAGATATTCTTAATAAGGTTTTAAAAAAAGGAGATGCAGTTTTCTATAAAAATAATAATGAAATGAGTCAAATGCTGGCTTGCAAATTCCGTGCATCAAAAGATAAAACTTCAGGCAAACAAAAAGTTGTCTACATGCTGTCAACATGTCACCAACCATCTATGAGACTTATTGAAAATACTTGTGGATTAAATACCAGTTTGTGTAAAAGAATACAATAGCCATATGGGTGGTGTAGATCGTGTTGACCAATAACTCCAGAGCTTGCACCTGTTACGGAAAACTTACAAGTGGTATTGGAAACTAGCAGGCTTATTTCTCTAGAAATTATTAACTAGAAGGCTTATTTCTCAAGGTATTTTAAATAGCCATAAAGTTTTTGTAAAGTACACTTGCCACAAGAGTACCACTTTCTTAGATTTTCTTCACAACGTAATTAAAGTAATATTTTTATCTTCACCGAAATTAAACATTATACTTGTTTCAGATGGTACTATACACAGGCTTACTGAGCGTCATTTCCCAGGAACCAAACAGCCATCACATGATGCAACAGATAGACATCCATCTAAAATATGTGGGGTTTGCTGTGCAAGACGAATTTTTAATAACAATTGCAAACCATTAAAAACTGTGCATGTATGCAAAACTTGCCCTGGTTTGCCAGGGCTACATATTGATAGCTGCTTTGAAATCTATCACACAGTGCTAGATTTTATGCAGAAATTAGTATACACAAATGCTTTTTTTTATTTGACATGTCTTACTATTGTTACTTTTTGATTTTATTATTTTTATTTATTCTTTTTTGAAGGAAGCATCATAATTAAAATTTTTGACCAAAAGACTCACTAACCTAATAAATATAATAACTTATGATAAAATTATGTTTAAGACTTAAAACTTATCAGAATTACTTACTAAAAATTCCTGAATGTTGACTATAAATTTGAAAATAATCTGATGAAAGTAAGATACATTTTTATTTTATTTGAATTTACAATTAAAATATTAATTAGTTTTCAAAATCCGCCATTATTGATCACAAAACCTGATGACTTATTTTATTTTTTTAATTTTTATTCTATTTTGAGAAAGATAAATTGCTAGGTTAAAAAGGAACCAATTTTTAAAAAAGTTGAACATTTTTTAAACCCATAATATAATTTTGATGGTAGTTGGATTAAAACATCATTTTTTCTCACGGCAATTTAAGGTTGCCGAGCCCGGTAACGAAAGAGTTAAGAATCCAAACAAGAACCTCAAAAACTAAATCTAAATTTAAAAAAAAAAATCATTTCTCATCAAAAGACATCGATTTGCAGCTCAGGCTGATCAAATTTCGAAAATTTTTAAAATCGCTCCACTTTATTAAGCATATATTATATCTATTAACAAATGAAGAAAAATTGAAGTTTTTTCTTTATATTGAGTTTATTTTTAAACTTTATATAAAATCATGTTTTTAGATATACTAATACTTACATTCATGGTATGTTGATTCCATTTGATTTTTTTATCAAGATAAATACCTAAAATTTTGTAAAGGTGTTTTATTTTACTTCTAATAGCTCAATAAATATTAAAGGTACATTAACTGTATTTGTTTTATTTTTTGTCATGTTTTGATAGTACTTGGTTTTTTACATTTAGACTTGAGTTATTAAGAGTTAGATTAAATAAGAATTAATTTTTTACATTTGAACCATGTGTTTATGTATATGTATATTATATAGTATATTTATTAACTATATATATATATATATATATATATATATATATATATATATATATATATATATATATATATATATATATATATATATATATATATATATATATATATATATATATATATATATATATATATATATATATATTGTTATAATAAAGGAGCAATGTGTTTTTGATTTATTTTTAAAATTTGTTTAAAAAATTTGTAAACTAATATCAATTTTTAAATTCAAAATTATAATTAATTATTGGAAGTAACATACTACTGTACGTAAATCTGACTTTTATTTAATAAACAAAAAATTTATGACAAGACTTTTTTTGTGTATACTCATTTATTCGAAATGCTACATAAATCTAAACTAAATTTTAATTAAACTTTTTGGAGCTTGAGTGTAGCGTTTTTTTCAAATAGAATATTTCCAAACCGTGCTTACAGTATACAAAAAACAAATATAAACTTTGCATAGTATTAAAATAACTGATAAATACCCTCAATAACACTGCACTGTTCAACGATATTTAATGTGCGTCTAGCACATTAGGGGATATAAAAACCTTACTCATTCTGATGTTTTACTCCTTGCTTGTAATCCGAAGTATTTACAATTTATATCCTTCATTAAACTGATACTTTTCAATAGATCTAAAAGTTCAGTACTTAAAGCACTTATGCTTTATTTCAGTGGTTTTTATTTGTAGTAAAAAAAATTGTTCATACACATGATCAATTTTAAAATAAAGAAATCTATGTAGGAAAAATCAGTAAAAATATCTACAATGATTCTCCAGTACTTCGTTTTTTTTTTAATTTTATAAATAAGGTTGCCTCAGCAATAAGTCCATATTCGATAAAAATTTTACGAATTAGGACAAATCTTAGTGCGGTAATTCCGAAAATCAAGGTCGGAAAAAATTTTTTTTTTTTGATATTGTTCAAGGAGGAACGCACTGTCACGGAGAAAACAGCCCGCAAGAGTAAACTGTCCGGCCGGACAAACCATACAAAACGGACAAACCTTGTTTACAGTATACAAAAAACAAATATAAACTTTGCATAGTATTAAAAGAACTGATAAATACCCTCAATAACACTGCACTATTCAACAATATTTAATGTGCGTCTAGCACAGCAGGGGATATAAAAACCTTACTCGTCCTGATCTTTTACTCCTTGTTTGTAATCCAAAGTATTTACTATTTATATCCTTCGTTAAACTGATACTTTTCAATAGATCTAAAAGTTCAGTACTTAGAGTACTTACTCCGGTGTAAACTATCCAGCCGGTCAGTTTACTCCGGAGTAGATTGAGTAAGTTGTCCTACTTAGTTATGAGTAAGGTTAAAAAATTATGGCTGAATTTGTAACTATCGTAAAATCATTTTTAAATTGATGAACAGAAGAGTAATTATGAGGAAAGGATGCTTGCTGATGTTAGTAACTATTTATCTAAATCTGTTTATCACCATGACTGCACCCCAAATAAAAAGCGGACAATTCGACGAAATACAAGCAGGTATAGATTGTTAAGACGTTTAGATTGCAAGCAGGTATAAATTGTTTTAGACGTTAAAATACTATATTACCAATAACATATTTAGGATTTATTTTATTTATTATATATATATATATATATATATATATATATATATATATATATATATATATATATATATATATATATATATATATATATATATATATGTATATATATATATATATATATATATATATATATATATATATGTATATATATATATATATATATATATATATATATATATATATATATATATATATATATATATATATATATATACATATATATATATATATATATATACATATATATATATATATATATATATATATATATATATATATATATATATATATATATATATATATATATATATATATATATATATATATATATATATATATATATATATATATATATAGAGAGAGAGAGAGAGAGAGAGAGAGAGAGAGAGAGAGACTAGCGGTAATTGCCGGCAGCGCGTCTAAAGAAATAATTTGAATGCATTAAATACAGCAATATTTGTTAGTTTTGTTGTTATAAAAACAATTTAAATTATATATTTATTTATTTTATTATATATTTATTTATTTAATTTACTTTTATAATTTTTTTGCGCTATTATTAAAAAAACGAAGACTTTTTTTTTTAATTATATACTGCCAACCCAAACCAAAACCCTCAGTCGATCTATGTACACTCTATACAGGTGTAACTCTATCGAAGTCAGTCGATGGTATGTACATTTCACTTTGCTTATCACTTTTTAAGTCAGTCTTGGAATTTAGACTTTGCTGCGCTTATTCCTAAATCAGTCGTAAGCATACACTGTTTCGCGTACGGCTATATCAACTGTTGTATGTACACTTTGAGACACCTATTAAACGTAAATCTAATAAATGGAAGTTATAATTAAACAAAAGTTAACAAACACTAATGAAGGGTAATACTAATAAAAGTTAGTACTGTTCAAAATAAAACATAAATTTTCACAAAAAAAAAAAATAATAATAATAGACTTCGATCTCGGGACGCCGTTCTATGCTGCAACAATTTTATCCACTAGGCTACGCAAGCATTAAGATATGTGCAGTTTTTATTTTTATAATTTTATTTTTATAATTAATCTCAGAATTATTTGCCTAGTCCAAAAGAGACTTTTATGGTTAAAAAAGTCTCTTTCGACTTTTTTTACCATAAAAAAGTCAAAATTTTTTCATTTTCTCTAATATTCTCTAAAAAATTCATTTGTTTTCTTTTATTTTTGACAAATTTATTAGCCTTATTTAATTATTTTCAATCGTAATTTAATAAAGCCATATAAAATCTATATGGGTTTCACCAATAGGAACTTAAATCGCCGCCATCTTGGGAGGCCATTTTTGGCTTCGGAAAAAACAATAGAATCCGCAATCCAGTTATGTTTTGAGATCAGTGGATATAAATATATATATATATATATATATATATATATATATATATATATATATATATATATATATATATATATATAAACTTATTTGACAAGTTTTCTCTTTAGTTATTTAAACTTTTATTTTAATTCATAAGGTGTACCTTTTGTATCCTAAAAAGTAGAAAATAGACTCAATAATATTCTGATTCTGATTTTTTTAATTGTGAAGTAACTTGCTTAAACTTCCAAAAAAAAAAAGCCTAAACGTTTGAAACTAATATGTATACTAGTCCAGGCAATACCTGTTTTATTTTTTTAACACTAATATACTTTTAATTCAAAAATTATATTTTTATTGCTATGATGAAACTGTTGGAAACAGATGGTCTGATGTTGTATGTTCTATGCTGCATGATTTTAAATTATCAATTGTCTCAAATGTAAAGAATATCAAATTGATTTGCAATTTATGTGCTAGGCTAAATACAAAATGAAAATTTTTAATTTGATTTTTTTACCTAGTTTATAAAACTGAAAAACTTGACAACATTACTGTTTCATTACCAATTCGAACTCTGTCACATTCTGTATAGGCATGACACGTCTATAAAATGCGACAGAAACATTGGCCATTGCAAATCGAAAGTTTCTTGCAGAAACACTAGACGATCTCACAAACCATAACAATTCAATATTTATTAATATTTGTTTATTTTAGACATGTTCACTTAGAGAAATTGAAATACTAAAAGCTGGTTAAAATTTAACTATATGTAAAATTGGAAATATTTAATTTTATGTATGTTACATCCAATATATTTAGATCAATGATTAAAGTACCTGATAAACTGAAACAAGCATGTATTGCTCTGTTGCTTTTTTTGTTAAAAATTTAAAAACTTACTGAAGCTAAACATTTTCTGAATGGACAAAATAAGACATTATTTAATTTTATTTTATCTTTTTTTTTCTAATTTATTTTACTTTTCTTTAAAATTATAAAAAAAACATTTTTATTAATGTTGTGTTCACAATTGTTTTTTGTATGGTCTATAAAAACTTAATATAAAGTGATGGAACACAGACATCATGGAAACATCTGTGGTAAATAGATGTTGTTGGGGAAGAGATAAGGTTGCAATGCTATTTTGTATAAAAATAAAATAAAAACTTTCATATAATATTTTGTTTGAATGTTTTTTATTAAAGAGCATGGGGGGTGGGGGTGGCTTTTATATCCCATCATTTTATAACCATACTTCGTAAGTTGTAGTTGTATATTACAATGCGTTACCATCTACCTTAAAAAAAAGTGCTCTAAAAGGTTACAAGCTAACGTAATTTATGAGTTGATGAGTTTACAACAGAAAAAACCACAGATGTCCAAAATTAGTATCTTGTTTTCAAAAGAACGCTGTGAATAAATAGTTTTCATATTTAGCACAAAAACTGCATTTTTATATTGTGTAAGGACTAAATGTATCGTCCATAAAGGACGTCACCATATTTTAGGTAATTTTTGACCCCTCCCTGCCCCTTGTCACTATTTGTCCTTTCCCCCTATATTTCCTTCCCTTAAAAAGCATGTCATAAAATTGAGATCTCCCCCCTTCCCCCTCCTCTTTTTGAATAAAAATCTTTTATGGATCTCACAATGAGATGAGATTCTCATTCCATATTTTATGGACTCGTTTTTGACAAAAGGCTTTTTTTTAGTCAGATGAGTGTTATTATTATATTATTTTTTAAATTTTGTTTAGGTGCCCTAAGAAGTTCTTACGGTCTTATCATAGAGCACCGTGGATTATTAGGACTAAGATTTATTAGTAAGACTTTAGGAGAAAATTTAAAACTATTTTTATCAACCTATCAACGTGTGCATTGAAATTATGAAGTGAAGATGGAAGTTGCAGCAGACAACAATAAGGTTTGA